AGAGATGAGACACAGTTAGGATGTGGATTTAAATACAGCAAAGATGAGAGTAAAGAGCTCCTGCAGGTGTGTGAGCAGACAGAGGAGGGGAGGCCAGGGGAGTCTGGGTGAGGAAACCAAGAATGAAGATGAGGATGGGAGTCTACCGGAGGAGGAGATGGGAGCTGAGGCAGGAGGTGAGGATGATCTGAAGGGCTTAACTCTCTGGAAGCTTCTACTTTTAGTCTCCTTTCAAGTACAGCAGGAGGTATGTGGGTCTGGGAGTTCAGATTCCAGGGGCTCTCTGGTGGGGCCTAGAGTGCTTTTGCTGAGGACCCAACGCCAGTCTGGGGTGGGGATGGGGGATCTGTGGCCTGAAAATCATGAGTTTTGGAGAAGGGAGCTTAACAACTCAGACCCACAGGCCAGAGAGAGGAGAGGCTGGGCCCATAACCCCCAGTCCTTTTGGGGGCTGCACTGGTCTTTAGGTCCCCAGCCCTGGATCTGCAGGGCTGCTGCTGGGCATAGGGACTGTACATTGTCCCCTGTCAGCATCCTCTCTCTTCTGCCTGAGTCTGGCCTCTCCAAGGCCTCTTGTCTGATTTCTTGAAATTTGTGATTCATGTTTCCTGAAAGCAGGATTCCCTGGGTGTATAACCTCCTTCCAGCTCTGGCGGGCCTTAGACTGAGGGTAGGGGATGGCCAGAAGGGGCTGAACTCCGGGTCTCTCTTTGCTCCAGTCTCTGCTGCCTGTGTCACCTTCCTGTGCCGTGCCTCCCCTGACCCAGTTCCATGAAGGCTGGGACAGCCCAGGGGGCCCTTGTTGCCTCAGGCATGGGGTCACCTTGAGCATACATGGCCTGCTGATGCCCTTTGATGTTCAATCCCCAACCCTATCAGTAACCCGGTCACAGAGGCTTAGACCACCAACCCCATTATCCTGGGTAAACAGTCCCTGTAGGCCCAGATCCCAAGACCTCCCTCTGTTGACTCCACTGGGCTAAGGTAGGTGTTCTCAAGTGTACCCGGTACTCCTTAGACAACTGTGGGTGTCCTGGCAATGGCGACCCAGTACACCTTCAATGTCTGGGGTCAGCAGCTCCAGCCAAACTCCCATGGAGACTGCAAGTGAGGAGTGGGTGTGCCCCAGGCGTGGTGGAAACATACAGGGTTAAGTGGCTGCTTCCCTTTGCTCTGGAGGCGTAGCAGCCATGGGGCATGTTTCTGTGAGTCAGGGTCACTGCACACCTGTTAGCTTGCCTGTGTCCGGTGACAGGACACACACAAGTTACAGGAAGTGAGTTTATTACAGATGGGTGGCAAGGGACAGCAGAAGCCTCAGGGTCACTGTGAGTGGGTCCTCCAAGACTCAGGAGGATTACTGGGGAGGGGGGAAGATGTACCCAACTGCCTGTGCCCCTCCTGCACCTGTAGATGCAGGACTCCAGAGAGCAGCCCAGCTGGGCTTTGTACTTGGGAGGGGCCTCATGAAGTGCATAGCTGCAGCAGTGAAGCACAAATATTCTGTCCTGTGGTGGAACTGGACAGAGCCCAGAGGGCTGTCCTGCAGGAACTTGGCCCCCCTACCCTCCTGCCTGGTACCTGGCTGGGTCATGGGTCTGAGAATTCAGGTTCAGCCCACCGCACTGTCACATTGAGGAAGATGTGCCAGCCTAAGGGCCCAGAACCGCAGGCCTATAGTTACTGAGTCCATCAGGCTGGAACAGGTGTCCCCAGCAGTACTAGATGTGTGTGGCAGAGATGGGGGTTATGGAGAGGATCCTGGAATCTGAGACCTCATACACCTTCACTGTGTGGACTGAAAGGAACAGTATGAAGTGACAGCCAGATCCTTTGTAGATCTACAGGTAAGACAGAGGTTCCCATCTAGCCTGGCCATGTGCCCTGCCTAGGCCTGACTCTTCCTCAGTTGGCCTGAACTGCACTCTTAAGCTTAAATAGGCTTGAAATGTCTCCTGCCTCACCGAGTCACAATGGGCATCCCTCCCCATCAACAACTCTCAGCAGTGCTCCAGACGTTCAGATACTGTTTAGAAAACCTGGCTCAGCGCCTGTGGCTCAAGTGGCTAAGGCGCCAGCCACATACACCTGAGCTGGCGGGTTCCATGGTGACAGCCTGGGCCCGCCAAACAACAATGATGGTTGCAACCAAAAAATAGCCAGTGTAGTCCCAGCTACTTGGGAGGCAGAGGCAGGAGACTTGCTTGAGCCCAGGAGTTGGAGGTTGCTGTGAGCTGTGATGCTACAGCACTCTAC